AATGATTCATTACTTAAAATCTCTGAAGTTGCTTCACTGATTGAACTTATGAAGTACCATATTTCTGTTTCACCAATGTATCGATCGCCGAAGTGAGGGATTCCTTTCCGTGGAAGACGATAGTCCATTCAACATCAAGGGCGGAGAGAAATTGGCGAAGATAGTTCACGCTAGTAAGAAACCGACGACGTCCGCCGCCTTCCCCTAGGAATTTGGTCATCTCATCAATCCTATGCTCTAAGGTCGCCAAATCGCCGGCCGCCGGAAAAGCCATGTAAGATCTATAAATTTAGCACATGCCCAAATCCTAGTTAACTCTTTTATTTCCTCTTGCACATATAAATGTGTCCAAAGTAACGTGCTTTGTTCTTTGGGCCAGAATTAAAGCATACTTGTTAAATTGAGTCCAAAGTAACGGACTTTGTTATTTGGGTCTGAATTAAAGCATAATTGTTAAATTGACCTAATATTGCACCACTTCTAAATTTGGAAATTTTACGTGCATTTATGAGAGTTTAGACTCTCATGTTAGGGTTTAGGTTCCCCTTTAAAAGTTTAGTATCCCTTAATATATATTTTTTCTTCTAATTGTCCTTAATATTAAACATTTTCTTCAAAAAATTAAAAACATTTGTGGTAATTAATGATAATAGATGAGAGTATTGGAAAAAAGGGTAACAATGATAGTGAAAACAATTACAATATAATATAAAAAAAAAGAATTAGTTATCTTCAAAATGAATTAAAAATTACATCTTATATAATAATAAAAAAGAATTGGTTATCTTCAAAATAAATCAAAAATCGTATCTTATATACTTAAATTTGTGAGCGTTTAGGTTCTCATTTTAGGTTTCAAATATCTGGTTTGCAGATTCCTGAAGTTTTGTTCGAAGATCTTAATATGAAAAATTCTAATTAATTGACAGAATATGTAACGAATGTATATCTATTGCGTTTTTATTTTTATTGTATTGTTTGTCTTGCTATTCCTTATGTTATTATAACAATTTTATAAAGCGTACCGACAAGTATTGACGAGCGATTAACGCTTACGATAAGATTTTGAAGGAAAAAAATTTACGCTTGATATGAAGCTGAAAATGATCGAGAAGAAGATAAGATGATTCAAGGCACATCCTTCGAAACGGGATAGGCTTATTTTCGACAAAATAGCCCCATTCCCAAAAATTATCCTGCATGTAGTTCACTGTATTGATAGATATGAAGAAAAATTATATAATTATATATCTATTATAATCTGAATAATCTATATTTCATTTCATAATAATGTTCAATAATAATCTTTAAAGTAATAGTTGATTAGATTGTTCAATTATATTTTTTGGAAATTATATGTATAATATATTAAAATTAGATTATCGTTAATTGAAAATAAGTAATAGGGTATTGTGTTGAATTGTAAATGCTCAATTTTATAACCTTAGAAATTAGAATACTATTTTTTTTTTGTTATTTCCGATTCAATATATTAGTCCAATACTAAACTCCAATGCCCACCCCTAAATAGAAAGGATTCCATGACGGGCCAATAGGCCCAGAAAAGAAAAACAAATTGAATGAATTAAAGACTCTAAACAACGTGTAGTTTTAAATTGTAAACACGAAATAGCGTGTAGTTTAGATGTAATTTGCTAGAACTACACGCACTTGGCAAAAACCCTAGCTCCCAAATTTTTATTCTCTTTCTGTATAAAAAGCGTGAGAAAGATAGTCACTTGAGTAAAGGCGTCTCCGCCGATTAGCTTCTCGTTCTTTGTTTTCTTGTTGCTCTGTGTTTTTCTTAAATGATTTTGTTCGTTTAGGGTAGATAGTAATGGACAGTGATGATTGATATTGAAAGGTCTCGTTCGTCGTAATATTGGCCGTAAAAAGCTTATTTGCCGACCATTCTGTTATATCACCACCCATATTCTGAGTCTATTCTCTTCTTGTTTCAATTTTCTCTGATTTGTTTTTTTTTTTCAATCGGTTTTTGGGCCTATGATTTAAATAAACTTGACAAGCATATGTCTGAATTAATCCTTGTTGATAAAATATAATCTTCTCTATGAGGCCTGTTTCGCTAATCCCAAATCCGATTTTCGTTTTCTGTGTGTTTTGAATCTGTTGTTTTGATTGATTGATGATTGTTTTTGTTAATAAGTAGTGGCCTGTGATTTAAATGATTATGACAAGCATATGTCTGAATTAAATCTCGTGTTGATAAATCTAATCTTCTCTATGAGGCTGCTTGCTTGATTATGTTTTTCTTTGTGTGTGTGAGTTTTGATGAATAACGAAGAAAAGGGAAAGGGTCAAGTGATGATTGATAACGCATAGTTCAGATGATAAAATCTAAATGATTACATCTATTCAGCATAGTCTTTCGCTCCTATCTGATGACCCGTCTTCCCTTTTTCATCTACTTCAATTTTTTTTGTTTGGTTTTATATTTCAAAAGTTAGATCGCAAGTCATTTGGATCTTGAAAAATGTTTGCAAGAGCATAAAAAAATTAACATTTTCTTGGATATGTATTGTAATGGTTGCATATCAATGAAGAACGCAATAAGTGTTGGCTAATGTGAAGCAGAAATTCAAACTTTGTTTTAAAGGCAATTTGAAAATCCGGATTCGGGTAGTTAAATGTTGGAAGGAGAGAATTGAAGATACAGAATTATATCGCCCAAAAATCATTGAGCCATGGATGTCCACACTATGTTGTTCATTACTAGAGTATGTTCCTATTTCAAAAAGATTCAAACTGAATTGGCACTGAAAAAAAAAGCAAGAGATCATTTACTATTACTAAAAAATGTGCAAACCGTTGGAGGTGCGGCTTGAAGAGGAGAGACGTGACTCGGTGAGGTGAGGATAGTGAAGTTTGGGGACTGATTCTGAATCAGTGAAGCAGAGGAAGAGGAAGATGAGACCGACAGGTCCAGGCTTGTCATTTCTGATAAATTCTTTGTGTGTTTGAGATTAACGTAAAACAATAATGGAAACATTTTGAAGCTTTATTAGAAGATATATTGAAGAATAGAACACGGCGTAGAGAGAGGGGATATGTAACAAACCTCAACTAACCGTTTTTAACGATTTTTTTGTACCAAGTTCAGATTCTGAGAACGATGAACTAACCTTGATGGAGAGCGTTTTGAATCATATTCATCTCCATTATTGGAAGAACTAGACTGTTAAAAGCATTGGTGCAGCTGTTGGAAATCTCCTGAAGTGAGCCAGAACTATTTCGGTCAAGAAAGTTATTCATATTTATTTTATCTCATGGAGAAAGTAAGAATCACTTAAAGACAAAATCGTCTTAAAGAATGATCATGATCTTGGTACACATAGAAGATTAAACTTTTCTCACCACTCTCTTAGCACTATAGATGCTAATTATATGAAAAACAAATAATTAGTTCTGAATTTGTTTCTAATCCATGAAGCTATTAAGAAATATAGCTCCATAACATTTACTAATTATGAAATATGTTTGAAATTCTATAAAATGGAGTTATATTACTTGAGATAGTCCACTATTGAACTTATGCAAATTCATCTTACCAAATCCTAAACCCTAAACCTTAAATTAACATTCCACACAAAAAATTAGATGAAATCGAAGATAGATGAATTCGAACCTGAGAGACCATTATCTATGGTAGACTTTCACTATTGAAAGTTTGATAGATACTACACAATTGAAAGAATTAAATAAAATTAACAACAAACTTTAACTGAAGAGGACTATAGCTTATCTTCATTTATTGGGAGAGATTCACAGACTCCATGGATTAGAAATATATTCACTGACCTCGAAAATAAAAATTAATGTTTCAGTTGGCTTCCAAGTAGATATTAGAAATTTTCCGTATCATTTTTCATTAATTAATGTGTATTTATGTTTTATTTTATTTGGTCTTTCAATTCCGATATTTTTTATTAGGTGCACATCTTGAGAGCATAAAAATAATGAATCATATCACAATGAGAGGTATTTGTGTGTTTTATTTTATTGATTCAGATTTTTAGTTTAAATCATTTTAATTCATCTCTATAAGAAAAAATGAAATAGAGAGGAAAATGGACAGAAGAAACCAAACCGACTTGTATTGTTATTGTATTTGTCACCGAGTTGTATATGTAACAATACGTAATTAAATTATCAAACATAAGAAGATGCCCCATATATAACTAGCTGTAATTAAAACGAATTTACCTTCTTTATTTTTTTAGAAACAAATCTAGCTTCT